GGGGGAAGCTGAAGCAGAACCCCGTGTGTGCAGCTTCCGCAGGGCGCCCAGGCCAGCTGTGGTCAGCTGGGCCCAGCTCTCGGCCCTTTGTTTGGCAGGCGACACCTTGTTTGTGGCTGGCTGTGGGAAGTTCTACGAAGGGACGGCGGACGAGATGTACAGGGCTCTGCTGGAGGTTCTGGGCCGGCTGCCCCCCGACACGGTGCGTGGGGACCCGAGGAGGAGGTCCTCATGGGGGGACAAAAGGCCACGTGTGCTGCGCCCCATCTGCCTGTGGCTGAGGTGCACACAGGCTGATGCCCGCCCTCCCCACAGAGGGTGTACTGCGGACACGAGTACACCGTCAACAACCTCAAGTTTGCCCGCCATGTGGAGCCCCATAACCCCGCCATCCATGAGAAACTGGCCTGGGCCAAGGTGAGTGCGTGTGGGGGCCCCAGCCCCCAGCCGTGCTCCCAGACTCTGCAGGAACTGGCCAGGGCCACCTGGATGGCCAGGTGCAATGACAAGCTGCCCCCACAGGCCGGGGGGTGGGGGCTGGCTGGCTGTGTGCTCTCGCGTTCCCCGAGCTGTGACCCTTGGTGGCGTGAGAACGAGCCTCCTGTCCGTGGTCTGTCTGTACTGGAGCAGCTGTCCCCACAGGAGAAGCACAGGTGCGGGGAGCCCACAGTGCCATCCACCATCGCCGAGGAATTTACGTACAACCCCTTCATGAGAGTGAGGTGAGGGGCAGATCCCCTGGGAAGGCCCCCGTCTGTCCATCTGTCCACCCATCAGCAGCATGTCCTCTTGGCAGGGAGAAGAGCGTGCAGGAGCATGCGGGCGAGTCGGATCCTGTGACCACCATGAGGGCTATCCGCAAGGAGAAGGACCAGTTCAAGATGCCGCGGGACTGAGCGCCGGCGGGGCCCCCACCCCCACCCCCACCCGGCCAGGCGGGTCTCTTCGCTGCCCCAGGGCAGGATGGTTTGCGGTGAATCTTGTATGAATTGCAGAGCCTATTTATGAGAAGATGTTTAAATAAAAAGTATTTATTCCTGTAACCGCCTGTGGACTCCAGACCCAGCCTCGCCAGCAGGACGAGCTGTGACCTGAAGGCCCGAAGACTCGGTGAAGGTGCACATGGGCAGCTCTCTGTGGGAGAGACATCCACCCCCAGATCAGGGGTCCTCTCCCTGCAGCTCCCTGACCCTGGTCACTATCACCACATGGCCATCTGTCTGTCCCCATTGCCAGCTGCTGACTGCCTGGAAGCAGCCCCTGGCCCAGGAACAGATTGGCTGGTTGACAAGAAGTCCCAGGGTCGGGACAGGCGGCAAGGTCAGGGCGGGGTATGTACAGACTGAACAGGAAAGGCCACTGCCAGACAGACCACTTCCTCTCCCTGCCTCAAGTCCATTCCCGCCCACAGTGCCTATGGGACTGTCCGTGGGAGCAAGCAGCCTCCTCTTCCTCCCGTGGAGCAGCTGGTGGTTTCGAACCACTGACCTTGCACCACCATACACCCTGGACTCCTCACACACGCCACCTTTCTTCACTGCATGTGGGTCAGGGACGAATGGAACCCAGCAGACCACAATCCAGGGTGTGGGGGCGTGCCAGCCACTCAGTGGGGGTGGGGTGGCGGCTGAGGCAGGAGTGACCTGGTGCAGCAGCTGTTCCGGGTCCAGAGGCAGGCCACCCTCCTGCCCCGGTGTTCTCAGCCTCCATTCGGCTCTGTCCCAGCCAGGCCTGCGTGGGCCCGTCCTGAGGGGCTGGAGACAGGTATCTCTGGTGGAGCCCAGACCATGGCTGTGGCCAGGTGCGCACACGTGTGTAAGCTGGGGTGCCCCCTCTGGGTGAGGGAGCCCTCACTGTCATATTCTTATCTTCAGAGGTGCACACACACCCCATTATGAAGCAGGGGGACCATGATGCCCCATTGCATTTCAGGGAGCAAGAGGTAGGGCCCGCCATAAGTGCTTGGCAGCCGGTGTCTGGAGACAGGCCCCTGGCTGGGAGCCGGTTCCTGATGTGCAAGAGGCAGCTGTGACTGGGGCCCTGCTGTGACTTCCAGGGACCACGCCGGTGGGAACGAGAAGCTGGTCAAGCTGGTGCCCGGCCTGAAGGTCTATGGGGGTGATGACCGCATCGGAGCCCTGACCACCAAGGTCACACACCTGTCCACACTGCAGGTGAGGAGCTGGGCGGGGCATCCCAACTGACCACTGACAATCCAGGCCTCTCTTGGACCTCCCTTGGGGATGGCTGGCGGCTGGGGCCCTAGGGCAGGCTGCCACCTGCTGGAGGTGAGCTGAGCTCCAGACCTGTGGGACGGTGGCGGCAGGTGCTTCCAGGAGTGTGTGCCCGTGTGTGCTGAGTGAGCGCGCACTTGCACGTGCCATGTGTGAGTGGAGTCCATGTGTGAGAGCAAACATGCCCGCAGGTGTGGCCATCAGGGCAGGGGCCTCCCGGTGCTGTGAGCTGAGCAGTTTTAGAAGGCAGGGGCGGGGTGGGGCAGGGCTGCAGAAGGTTCTGGGGTCACCTCCCTGGACAGCACAAACCTCCCCGCAGTGATTCAGAGTAGAGACCCTGCAGGAGAAATGAGGCTGGGCAGACACTGCCTGTGTGCCCTTGGGGAACGCTCCAAGTGCCTGGGAGCC